GGCAAACTAATCCTTAGAATATCTGAAAACAGAAGATCCGTACGAGTTCGTCAAGTTATTTTACTAGTCTTCTGAGCACGATAGTTGGCTCAATTTGAGAGAGAGAGAGAATAAGTAAGACAAAACAACAAATATGTGATTAGAAAAGAAGAAGAAGAGTGAAACCTTCGGGTACGAATTTTATATTAAAAAGGGTAGGATAAGACCTATTTAAGGAGCTTTTTGAGTGGAGGTGTCTTTACTGTATAGCAGTGTTTGTAAAACCGGCCCGATCTAATCGGTAATCGTCCGGTTTTGGTGATCAATAAATATTTTTAAACTTTATATAAAATATTACTTCAAACTTATATCATTTATGTTACAATGGTTCACTGGTTAGCGTCAACGGTTTAGTTGTACAAATGATGGTTCAAATCTTGCACCAGTGTTTTTATGTTTTGTATTGTCTTTAAAGTTATTGTTGATTTAAACTTTAGATATAATATTACTTCATATTTATATCAGTTAAGTCGTATGTGAACCATGGATCGAAGTTATTGTTGATTTAAACTTTACAAATAATATTACTTCATATTTATTTCAGTTAAGTAGTATGTGAATCATGGATCAAATCTTGTTGCCAGTGTTTTCGCGTTTATTTACTACTACTTAGTTGACAAAAAGAAACATTTTGTCTTTAAAGTTATTGTTGATTTAAACTTTAGATATAACATTACTTCACATTATATCAGTTAAGTAGTACGTGAATCATAGATCGAATATTGTTGCCATTGTTATTACGTTTATTTACTACTACTTAGTTGACAAAAAGAAGGGCTTATATTATATATAACTTAATTTTTTCTTCATTTTCTATTGAAAAAAAGAGTGGTCAAGTTGATTTTTTTAACACTATTTTAATATTTTTTACATTATGGTAAAAATTAAAAAAAAATTGATCAATGATACTTTTATATTTTTCCATCTTTTTCATAAAATTTTAAAAATATCCGTAGGCACAAATCGATTCGTTAAAATCCATTTTTTCATTAATTTTTAACTTCATTTTAGTGTGATTTGTTTTAATCACATTCTTTATATGTTTTTTATATTTTAATAGAATTTTTTTATATCTTTTTTATTTGTTTAACACATTTTTTATCATACGGGACTTGCCGGTTAGTACGGTTGAATCTACTGGTTTACCGGTTAGGCCGGTTAAATCACTTCCAGACCCATACCTAATTAACCATTCCGATTCGATTTTACAAACACTGCTGCATAATTAGTGGTTAAGCTCCCCAACAGTCAGTCAACGTCACACTCCCAACCAGTGTTGTTAAATTTAGATTCTTTCAGGTGAAGCACCCAAAGCCTTGACGATCGAAGCAAATCGAATATCAAAACATTTCGGACCCATATTTTGCTTATCCAAAAAACACTATTCACATACGGTGAGCCCCAAATCCAAAGTGTTTTACCCAAGACTTCACCCCCCATGTGGCCCAAATCACTGATCATCAACAATTACCAACTTCACTCATCGTTATTTCCTTGAGAGTGCTTTATTGAATGGTTTGTTTTCTTTGATTTTTTTTATTTTTTATTATTTTAATATATTTTTATATATAAATGTATATTTTATTTACATTAAATTTTTTAAAAATAAAACCAAAATCTTCCCCCGACTTAACTGAAGCACTGAATTACTTTATTTTTTTACCAAACCGAAAAAAATTTCGAAACAAATCTGATAACATCACTCCCAACAGTCACTTGTGATCAGTTATAAACTACCACCAACAGTAATAAACCGTCGCAATTGCTGTCAATTATCCAACGACCAAAAATACAAATGCACCTCAAGCACTCTTGCGTCCCCGCACATGTGTGAGTGTGTATCACATGCTTCACATGCTCCACACTTGCAGCCTCTGTCGAGTTGTCTAGACACCTTACCTAAAGATAACAAATTTAAAAAATTTACAAGAAAATACCTGAAATACAACCTAAATCTGAAATTATAATAACGTATAGCTCAATTTAACCCAAAATTACATAACCAAATTCACCCCAGTCCAAATCCCCAATACAATATCTGCTTATTCCACCCAATACTTAACTTTAGATATTGGCCAAAACTCAACATAACATAATCAAATTATATATATATATATATATATATATATATATCAGTCCACAAAACAAAGGACTTCAATAATATAAATTACATAACCATGAAGCACAATCAAACTACATATGTAAATCAGTCCACAATACATAGGACTTCAATAATACATATTATATTACCATAAAACACATAAATGGGCCAATCTTCAGTAACATACACACAACCAAACCGTGCCTTTAGTCTCAAATTAAAGGAAGCCAGTCTCAAACTTATGGGAACCCAAATTATGGTAAGTTCTTAGACACAACCCATTGATTACTTAAGCAGATAAGAAGATTACTAGGTCGAAATTCAATCTACAATATGAGACTCAATAATCGTCAACAAAACACATCACAGGCTCTATGAAATGGAGCACTCAAAACAAGAGAGAGAGAGAGAGAGAGAGAGAGAGAGAGGTGCGTGGA